CACCCACATGTGTGTGCAGAGATCAGAGATGAACGACCAGTCTTCGCATTAAACCCATAGGCTGTACTGATTGGCCAGACCAGCTACCCATCAAGGCCCTGGAGTCCGTCTCCACCCCCAAGGGCTGGGGTTAAAGGTTGATGCTGTTGCACTTGGCTTTTGCATGTGTACCTGTGATTGAAACTCAGGTGCTCTTGCTTATCCTACAAGCACTGTACCCAATGAGCCATCTCCCAAGGCCCAAAGTCGCATTGTCTGACCTCACCATCTAGCCTAGCCTACCATGGGGCCCGGAGAGCCTAGGTCCCTGACTGATAAGCTCCCCTTAGAGCCAACGGCCTGATAGGAAGTAGGCAGTGTATGGGAAATCAAGTCCAAGTCACTGTTCTACCCATGGGGCCAAGCTGGGCTGAGTCCAGCTGCCCTGGCTGGGGGAGGTGGTGACTACTGTATGACACACTAGGCCAGCAAATGACCCCTTTTGTCTACTTTGCAAAGCCTTCTTGAGAGGGTTCTCAGAAGCAAAGCCTGGACGCCTGAGTTCTCATAAATCTTTTAATAACAGCAAATGAAGAAAACATTGTAACAATAAGTCCCATGGGGAGGGTTCCTTTTCATTCAGGGATCTTCAACAGCTGGAACACCTGAGGCTAAGATTCAAAAAACGCTAAGTACACAAATTAAGGACCATTTCTTTCCAAAGGTGGCTGCAGAAACCACTTAAGTACAATCAAAGGGTTGTACAAAACAGAGAAAACACATTACAAAAACACCCAAAGAGGGGAGGTAGACTAGAGATGGGGGAGTAAAGAGCGCCCTAGAAGCAGCCTCACAAAGAGGCTCGATGCCATCTAGGGAGTTCAGAGACTGGCTCTCAAGGGAGCCTGGCACATGAGGGTGACAGTACATGGCAGTCCCAGCTGGAGAAGAAGGATGGAGGAAGAGGCGCTCACCAGTGTTCCAGAAGAAATAATTGGACACCATTCAGTCCTGTTCTCTTCACTACAATTGCATCAAATAAACCAAGAATGCTTTAAAATCAAATAGGACATCGACACCAAAATAAATCAAGAGTTTCCAAAACATCATTTCTACTTAAAATGACTTTTGTTTCTGATCTGTTTATCACTGAGAGGGGATGGGGGGGTCTGTTCAATGCCACAAGTAGCAACTCAGTACACACAAGTGTCTCAAGATGAGGGCAACATCAAGTACCTTGTGGACTTCCTGCAGTTGTATATACCAGCGGAAGACTGGCTCTTCTCGTGGACTCAGAGAGGGCAAGGCCGGGGAGGTTGTGGGGGAGACACAGGACATGGCTTCCCAGTCCTGGGCCTTCCCAAGTTGCCTGGGATGCCTGGCCCTGGCTCACTAAAACCAGCAGCAGGGTCATGTCCTACAGTGTACCCCCGCAAGCCTCTCTTACAGTAGAAACCATTCAGAAACTTCTCTCCCAAAGAAAACGAGTGACAGAATTCCAGGAAAGTCTATTTGGCAGAAGGAGGGTTAAAAAGGGCCCTTGTCATCTCCCAAACACCAGGCTCAACACAACTCAAAGCATTCCCTAACCCCAGTTCTTCTGCGTAGAGCCCTGCTAACACTGAGTTACCTGGGAGAAGCTTGTAATTACGTCACAAAACACTGACTCTTCCATGATCACATACAGCAAAGCCCCAGCAGAGGCTACAGCAAAAGCGATGGTCTGACAGGTACTTGGAAGAACCACAGAATAAAGTGCACAACAGACCCTAGATAGCCCACTTAGACCCTGGAAGTCCACAGGTACAAAGAAGTCCACAGGAAGACAGAAGACAGACATAAGAAAGGTGGAGGTGGTGGCTCCCAATCGCTACAGTGTACCCCAGGAGGACAGAAGTGCTAGCTGCTAGGCTTCTGGGAGGATGTTGGGCCAAGTCTTAGATATACAAAACCAAATACTGGGGGTGGGAAGAAGCTTTAAATGGGAAAAACAACCTCTGTTACTCAGAGTGGCTGCCACAAATTTTCTGGCTTAGCCAATTGTTCTTGGTGGCACAGCCCCTTGACCATGTATGCTGAGGGCTTGAGGATGCACTAGGCCCTCTTGCTGGGACAATCTCAAAGAAACGGGCCCTCTCTATGAAAAGTCTCACACAGGCACGGAGCTACTGCATGGTAGGCGATATACAGAACTCTGGCCAAGGTAACTAGGGAACAGCCTTCACAGGGACAAGAAAGGCCTGAGAAGGCGCTGTAGAGTCAGTCCCAACGGTCTTCTTTGTCTGTGGTCTCCTTTGTCTCTACTGTCAGAAAGGCTGTTGGACATACCTGGGAGCAACTTCCACAACATAGAGTAGAGCCTCGGTAGGTTACCCCTTTTCATGTGGGTCTGGACCAAAGTAAGAGTGAGAAGCAATGAAGAGGGTCCCCTGTACCCCAACATTTCAAACCTAACCCAATACTCCCTGTGGAATCTGTTGAAAGAGCCACAAACTGTTTATTTTAATTTCTTTACCTATGAGCCAACCTAGAGCCCTGCATCTCTGCTTTACTTCCTCCTTCTTGACAGGTGTGTCTGACTCTGGCCTGGCCGAGCCAGGCAGCATGGCTTTGAGTTTCTTCTCTCCCTCTGAGTGCCAGAAAATGCCTACCAGAAATGGGTTTGTTGATTTGCTGCCAAAGCAGAGGCAAGCTACTGGAGGCGTGCCAATGCAGGGAAAGCCCAAGATGCCTAGCAATCTGGGCCACAGTGCCCAGACGGGGAAGAAGCGTGTACGGCACTCCCACCTCTGTGGCATTCTGGAGTTGGCTCCCTCAGCTGAGGCCCTACATCACCGCAGGCAGCGGCTATATGTTGTGGCAAGGGCCATGGTAGGCCTCATGTGTAGCAACATTTCATTTGTATTTTAATAAATAAAGCTTCCCTGAAGATCAGAGAGTAAAAGAGCCCCACTGCTCAGCCTTACAGACCAGGCAGTGGTAACCCACACCTTTAATCCCAGTACTAGAGAGGAATACAAGACAGGAGGAAGCAGCTCTCAGACACAGTCTCATTCTGAGAACCTGGACTGAGGTAAGAGCCAGTGGTTGGCTGCTTTGCTTTTCTGATCCTCAGGCTGAACCCCAATTTCTGTCTCTGAGTTTTTATTAATCGAGCTTCATTCATGACCTCTTTCCATGCTCTTCTATAGAGAGGCCCAGGGCCAGGGAGGATCTCACACATTTTATTCACCCAAGACTTCTCTGAGGGGGTGGGGAAAACAGCAACAGAAGAAGCACTTCCAGAGACCAGCAAGAGGGCGAGAGGAGGAAGAGGCATGGCAGGAGCTCAAGGTGAACAAGCACACTAGGAGTTCTTCTTTTCCGGTTCTCCGTACCTCAAAGCCAATCAACTCATGTTCAAGCAACCCTTCCCAGAGATGCTTCCCTTAGTTTCCATTTGCTCAGGGACACTCTCCTGCCGCTGCTTCCCTGGTAAGTCCGTTTCATGGCCACCGAGTCACTGAAGCTCAGGTTAGGCCTAATACCCACAAACTCAGGTTGAATACTGCAACCGGAACCGGGACATGGAGTGGTTATGGCACAAACTTCTTTCTCTATTCTTAAACAAATCTCCTCCTACTTAGAAGCTGACAAGGAGTCAGCAATGTCCAGATACTGCTGTCCTTTGTGGTCCATACATGACTAAGTACCTTTCTTTCAACCGAAGTTCCTTCCTAAAGAACACTTGAACTGCTACCTATGGAGACCTGATCCATTGGCGGTTCCCTTTCAACCTACACATGGGCTTTGGACATCGTCAAGCTGCCAAACCCAGGATGTTTCTCCACACTGAACACTTAAGCAGAGTCTAGCTACACGAAAGAAATCAAGCCATAAAGAAACTGCCTTGGGGAGCTGTGGACATGTCCTCAAAGTGCCAGGAATGGCTCTAGAGTACCTTCCCGAAATGCAAGGGTTCCCCCATTTCAAACATCCAAAATAGGAAACAGCCAAACAGCACCCAAGCCCCGCCTCCAACTCCCTCTTCCATGAAGCGGCCACAGACAAAGAGAAACAGAGAGACATGTACAGAGACAATGAGGATGGTTGGGGGCAGCTGAGACTAGAGTGTTGCCTAATTATCCACATGACATAGACTAGGCTTCAGATCACAGCTTTCTCAAGTTGCCACTCGACTTAGTTGGCTTCTTAATTTCTTTGCTCACTTTGGATTGGAGTGTGGATCGGCTCTCAGATTTCACAGGGAAGGTTTTTTTGGGGGACAGGAACCGGGGGGTGTCCTGCCTGGTACTGTACACACCTTCACCCTCTTGACTTCAGACTCGCTGTAGCGACAGACCTCTGGCAGCCCACTGTGGAATCTTGCCCTTGGCCTGCACACTGCTGTCACCTTCCACCCCAGGCAGCACCCTAGAAGGAGTGGCTGGGCGGCTCCCTGCTTTACATCACGGGACACCCATCACTGGAAGAATCTATTTTGGCTGTGATCTGGGAAGTCCCTCGGCTCTGGGCTTGCAGCTGGTATAGAAACAAGGCCTTGGTCTCCTTTTGGTGGGGGCTATGCTGGAGGTAAAAGGGGACCCCACCATGAGCCTGGAGGTCCCTGGCAGTGGAGAAGTGACCCGAACACTGTTTCATTGCTGGGGTGCTGGGGGAACTACCGCTTGCTGCTCCCCGCTTCTTCAACTAGCTGTTGTTAAAAAGCACCGACAAACAGTGTGAAGGGCACTGACTACATTTCTCTTGGTAAGGCCAAGCACAGGGACGGGGCACACAGTAGGGACCCAGAGGCCAGGGGATGAAAGGAAGTAAGTTCCAGCCCCCAGCACTATCCCAGGCACAAAGAGCCATTCATGGGGAGGAGCTGAGGAGGGAAGAGTCGTGGAAGAAAGGGACAGAGAGGAGGAAAAAAAGAAATTCACCAAGTATCCTATTGCCCTCGCCAATGAGTCTGTCAAGAACTGGATGTTCTCTGAGTCAAGTCAGGACTTGATTCCTCAGGGAGAAACAAAACAAAACAAAAAAACAAAAACAAAAAACAAACAAAATAAAACAAAACAAAACCCCAAGCACCTTCAGTCTATTTTCTTGGCTGGAAGCCGGAGCAAATCCAGCAGATATTTACACAAGGGCCCAGCCATGTATGAGAACAGGATGACCAGCTTCCCGTGGGTCATGGTCATGAGAGTCTGGTGTCCCGAGGCCCAGATGCGATACCAGGGGCCGTAGAATGGGTCTGAGATGGCCGGACACAGCATGTTGTTCAAATTCATTTCGGTGACCTGCAGGGACAAGGGAGGTAGAGTGAGCGTTCGCCATCCCGAGGCTTTCTCCGGCTACTGCCAGTTCAGCCATCTCTCCTCCCTAGGGACGACTGGACAAGGAGGGATTGACCAATCCCCACCTGTTCATAAAGGGGCTGCTTTGCCCTAGGCTTTCTTAGTGGGGGATAGAGCACTGTCCTGGGGGAAAGCTGTTCAGTTTTGCTCAGTCCTGCTCTCCAGTTGGGCCCAGAGTCCATTGTCATTCCTAAGCATTTATCGTGTGCCTAGTTCCTGGAGAAAGGTTGCATTAATTTTTAGAGCCATTAGCTTCATGGTCGCTGTCTCCAAGTAGCAAGGGCAATCAGTTGACTGTGTCTGGTCTCCAACTAGACGGTGCCCACTAAGCTTTACATGCCACGAGGAGGTCTGAGGAGCATTTGGAAGATTTTGTGAGGGGAGTGGCACGTGAATGGACTCATGAAAGATGGACAAGGGTTATGGTGAGGAGTGGGTGAGGAGAGCTTTGCTGGTGGAAGGTGTAGCAGAACATGGTAATGTATGGTGACGTGAGCAACACCGACATCCCTAGAAACCAGCAACTAGGTGGGGAGTAGCAGGACATAAGGAGGGGATGTGTGCGGCTCAGGAACATGCTGAGCCTTCCTATATAAGCAGAGGCAGCATCCACACTATTGGCAAAGAACCCAGCCGACCTCTGGCAACCCAGAGCAAGGAAGACAAAGAGGGTACTTGCCCAGAGGCACTGGGGACATCCAGTTACACGACCTTATCATGCAAGGCCGCACACGGCTCCACATGGCTAACCCTGCATGCCAACCACGCAAAACCAAATATGGCGTTCCTGCCCCAAGGACAGCCAGAACACCCACCTTCAGGAGCTCTTAAGAGCTTGCTCGCATTAAAGACAAGTCCTCCCTATCTCTCAAGGAAGCTAGGCTTTTGTATCTCGCTACAGGGAGGGAGAAAACTCCATCCCCACACCCAGGCATGAACTCTCTCTCCTCACTTCAGCACTGATACATACCCTTGCATTTTCGGCGCTATTGGACTCTGGATATTTCAACATTGAGGCTAGCCAGTTTCCATATTCCAGGCACTTCTCAGACTACAGAAAGCTCTGGGACTCCCAACCACTCACTTCCACTGGCCACACTGCTGAAGAAAGGGTCTCCTGAAAGACCTGCGAGCATCTCCAGAATGTACCCAAAACCAAAGGCCATCACAAGGCCCAGGGCCATCAGGATAAGGATCATACACGCCCAAGAGGTCCACAGCATAGCACTTGCCAATTACAGGTCACTGTTTCAGACCCAAGGAGCCATGAATGAAGGGTACCGTTGCATCCCCAGAAATGAAGGAACGACCATTGCTGAAGGATTCAGAAAACTCTCCGGAGAAGCCAAAGCTCTGTATCATAAATCAACACCCCAGACACAACAATCTGACATCCTGGCCTTTAGCATTGTGCATTTTTCAAAGCAAAATGATACCACAGCACCAACCAGGATTATCAAGATTTATGAAGAACTCCAAACAGAGGGGAGAGAAGGGGATCTAAGCAAACTTACCAGGCCGAGGATCTGCAGGATGCTGAAGTGGTAAAAGAACATGAGGCCCGTGGAGAGAAGAGCCCACCGGAAACTGCTGAGGGGCTCTGGGGTGTAAGCACCTGGAGGAAGACGGGAGATGGTGAGCCAGGAGGAACAGCCACTTCTCCTCTGCTCGCATGGGTGCAGGTGCTGAGGTTACAGTCACAGCTGCAGCTGGCGTGGTGTCTCTTGCACATATCAACGACAGCATCTTCCAAGGGCCTCAGCACTTAGCTAGGAACCATGGCAGCCCTTTCTTAACCCCGCTTTCTGCCCATTGATATCACAGCATTAGAAAGAGCGGTTAATTCATGCATACTAAAAGTGATTTGGATTTGTTTAAAAAACGAGAAAAGAAGATAGAAGCCAAAGAGGGACTCAATCCCAGCACTTGACTCCTAGAATAGAAGCCACACTAATACACTGTTGTGTTTCTTTGGTCATTTTCTCCATGCCCCAGGATGCATTTTTAAAATTAATTCTAATATTAGTACTATATATGCAACTGTCTTTGTTTCTGAATTTATTTCCTCGTGGTTCTATATAGTATGACGTAGCAGTTGAAAACGTTATTGTTGAGGTCAGATAGATTTGGGTTCAATTTTTTTGTTTGGTTGGCTTTGGTCTTTTGAGACAGGGTTTCTCTGTGTAGCCCTGGCTGTCCTGGAGCTCGCTCTGTAGACCAGGCTGGCCTCGAACTCAAAGACCCACCTGCCTCTGCCTCTCCAGTGCTGGGATTAAAGGCTCGCACCACCACTGCCTGGCAAATTTGGGTTCAAATTCTGACTCTACCATTCTTTAGCTGCTTGGCTCTGTCAAAATTTGCAACCATTTTGCAAATCTTACTTGCCTATCAAATCGGGATAGTTGTGTCCCCAAAGTCTGGCATAACATGACTGCTCAATGGGGATCATGTTCTCTTACTGTCGCTGTTAAATCTAGAGCTCTCGTGAATGTTTTAACCAGTGGTTGTGCTATTTCTCAACTACTGAATAACTCTGTCCCAAGAAAACCGAGTGATGTCTTGCCTCTTCTATTGCTGATGTGAACTCCCTTCTTTGTAGGTTTGGATGTATTTCAGAGCTTACAGAGCAGGAACATGGTAGACAGGAGACTTGGAGTATCTCTCTGTTTGGGCACTTAGCAGGCGTGCTTCAGAAAGGAACCTGAAAAACACCTTCCCATCCCCTCCAAAGTACAGTACTGTTTACCCAGGTCAGCTTTTCATTGATTCTGCCCTTTGTCCAATGGTTGTTTGTACCTTGTAGCTTTTGGAATAAGACAAGGTCCCTACAGTTTGAGAAATACAGGCAACAAAGACAATACAGCAAGTTGGGGGCGGGGTGACTGAAAGCCATACTTCCTGGTACTTCCTGTTATGGGAAGACAAAAGTCAGCCTGGGACTGGGGGTGGAGGTGGGGTAAGGAAGGTTTCTTGATAGAGGCAGCATTGGAGTAGAGTCCTGAGAAACTAATGGGACTTCAGGAGGGCCCTAGGCCTTTCAACCTGCACACAGGCAGACACATAAGGCAGGCCATTCAGAGCTATGCAGATAAGAGGTCAGTGACAGCCGTGAGGGCTGGGGGGTGATGGCTCAACAGGTAAACCTGAGCATTGTTCTAGCCTGATGACTTGACCCTGCTTCCCAAGTAGAAATGCCAGAAGTGATGGGACACGTCTGTAATCCCAACACTCCTATGGTGAGATGGGAAGAAGGCACAGAATGATCCCCCAGAAGGTTGTGGTCCAGGTGACCCAAAGAACGCAGCCCAGCATAAACAAGAGACATCGTTCCTCAAAACAAGGTGCAACAAGAGAATCAATTTCCAGAAGCTGCCCTCTAATGCCGCATGCATGTTGTGGCACATGCATGCCCACACTCACACATACACATCTCTCTCACATACACACACAACTCACTTACACACACACAGAATGATAATCGCCATAACAATAATAATGAAATAATTCAGTAGAGTTACAGGGAGAGTCCAATGGAGGTAGTGAGGAAGAGGTTAGCAAAGCTGGTCTGCCCCAGGCCGAGCCATGTGAGCCTCAAGGAGCTATGCTTGGGGCTTCGGGTACCATGTGTGCAACAGAACCGCAAGGCCAAATGTGTCTTGTCTCACAAAGATTCTAGGATGGAGAAGCAGGACTAGGACCAAGAGATACTCAGGAATATGCGAGCCTGGTAAATAGACCACGCCCTTTCTAAAGAGTGCAGTTACCACTTAACTCCGCCATCTGCTGCATTGCTAGACCATGGCTCAAGAGGTGCCTGCTTCTTGCTTTTTCAAAGGAAAGCCAGAAACATGAAACTTTATGTGGAATGTCCGGATTTTTAAATGCAGGCAACTATTCAAAATGTTTTAGAATGCTCAATGGGCCAAGCAAAACATGTATTCCAGATGGATTTCAGTCCCTGGGAGGGCATCTATGTGATCCGCTACAGAGCCACCAAAAGCTGCAGGGCATTTGAGAAACGTGAGCGCTGGTCACTCAGATTAGGGTACAAGGGTCAGAATAAAGTCAGTGGTACTGCCAAGGGGACTCTCCAGGAGCCCAGAGCAAGGTAGTTTTTGGAGGTAAAAGCGGCAAGGTAGAAAATTAAGAGAGAAGTGAAAATCAGAAGGATGTGGTACAAGGCAGGAGGGTGGGGTTGGGGGAGAGGAAGGATAGGAGGGACTCTAGAGTTGTATTAATAGCTTGGCCACCACGGGATTGATGATGCCATTTATTGCGATGGAAAAGAGAGGCAACAGCAGATTGAAGCAAGGGTAAGGAAATGATGAAGGCCATTTTAGACATGTTGAAAACGGAGTATCTGTGACTATGAAATGTCCACATGTAAACATTCCTGCAGGGACTGCATATATTCTAAGGCATGATGGGTGACACTGGATGCCAGAGCCTAGAAGGGGCAACTATTCAAACCCTGCTTCTATCAATTATGAATTTCAGAGCTTTGGCCAAATCACAGTATCTCCTCAACTCAGTTTTACTCATCCGTATAATGGAACAGGCACCGCCTCATGCACAGAGCTGTTGGTCAGAGGAGATGACACAGTTATTGCATGGTCCCAGGGATTTAACAAGTGCTTGTTATTTTTATGACACGAACCACAGACTCCATGAAGAGGATAAGGTGAGCATACAAGGATGGGTGACGTCAGCACAGAGGAGAAACAAAGTCATGGGAACGCGTACACAGTGAGAGAAAACTGAGACCCGAAAGCAAGATACCAAGGAACAAGTGCAAGAATGGGGAATAGGCAGGAGGAACAAAGTAGGGTGAGTGAAGTCGGGGGCTACCTGTGAAGTGCGTCCTGGACATGTTGACGTGTCTGTGCTTTAGGATTGCATGCTGGGCTATATTTAGAGCTATCTTGAGCCACATTCAGCCTGTGTGTTGGACACACCTTTGTCCCAATGTTCCACCAAGACAAGAACCTTGTATGTCTCCCCAAATGCCCCCCCCCCCACAGTGCTTGGTTGATAACAAAATGTTGAGCAATAATACTAAGAGTGTGGACACTGGTCAGTCTGATAAATGAGGATGGCCTGGGCACCACACTGTCACCTTAATTTCCGAGGGCACACGGAGAAAGAAGAGACCTGGAAGGCTGACAGGTGCCCAGGAAGTTACGCACTCTCCTAGAAAGCTATTCTTTTCTTCCCTCTGACTTCTGCTCAACAGCCCCCGCCCCAATGCAACTGAGCGGCAGTGACATGCCTCAGACGCCAAGTGTGGTACAGTAATGGACTTGAACACATGTGTGTCCTCAACCAGGAGTCAGCTCAGCAGCCACAGTCCTAGGGAAGAAGGGGACAAGGATTCACGCACAGGACAGTTGTCCCTTCCCTGTGCTTCTCCCACGTTGTGTTCTAGGGGAAAGGAACACTGAGATACTATCAGGGGACATGGTTTTCAGTGTGCTGACACTTTGCAAAGCCCCATCCCTTCCCTGTTGCATTAGCTCCCTCAACCAGACTGCCTGTTGACAGAGGGAGAAGCTCTCCCTCAAGCTCTGCTTTTACCTCAGTCCTGGATGAATGGTGGCTATTGAAAGGCTTACTGCATGGCAGAAGTAGTGGCAGAGACTTGTGAGGATCATAAAAGGGAGATTAAGTCAATGCTAGCACTGGGAAGATGATCTTCAAACACCTATAGAGCTCCCAAGCCACCCTTATCTGTACCAAGATATTTAGGCTTCTTTTCTCTATAATGTTGAGAAACTGGAAACAAACCAACTAGGGAGATAGGTTAAGTAAACTCCAATACCTCAATATTGTGTAAGAGTCCACTGCCAGTCAAATGGCGACCGGATTGTCCATGCATGAAGAAACCAGACCCGGATGAGCAACACCAAGTATAAAAGGCAGAACATCAAACAGCACAGACATAAAAGAAAATACAATGTAGTAGCTTAAAAACAAAGGGGGGGGATCAGACAGCCCCATGTTCCCTGTGGGAGTGACCCTGAGCAAATCACACTTCCTTTAAAGCTGTTTTCCTGTGTAGGAACTGCAGGCAGTGTCCACTGCTCAGGGCGGAGGAGTGGCAGAAGGCATTACAGAAAGCAGATCCAGCAGCTGCCTAGCAAGGAGCTATTTTCACCCCAGGGATCTCAGGCGTCCAAACTCATAGACAGGCAGGAAGAGGAGGGGCATTCTGGAGAAGTGGCCACCTCCCCTGCGGGGGAGAGACTGCCTGTGGCAAACAGGATCCAATGTTCCATTTCCTTCCAAAACCACAGTCGAAAAGCACCCTATGCACTGCTAACACGGCCCATAGGAATACATGCAAATTATATGCAAACCCACATAATACTTTGTTGGATACCTGGATGTGGCCCTTGGGATAATCCTAGTGAAAAACCAGTTTTCTTCAAAAGAAAAACAGAAACTGAATCACATTCAGGAAAATTCAACACATCATAAAATGCTTTTTCCCCCCTACTTTAAGAAAGTATGTGACATTTTTCTGCTAGCATTTTCTATCCCAGGAGGATAGAAGCGCGTCATCAGTAAAGGTAGGGGGAAACCAAGATGATAGTTTCTGGAAAATTGATTTCTGCC